TAAAAGAAAGAAAGATTTTACCGATATGTGCAACTGTGTAGATGGGATGATAATGGCCATAAATAACACAAGACTTACCAACACGCCACCACCCAGATTATGTGGATCAAAGCACATATTTTAATTTTTTTTTCTTGAAACCATTTTACCTTGTTTTATATTTAAAATGTACTTTTTACACACACACAAAGAATCACCCCCTCCTTTTTTTTTTCTTTTTTGTTTTTCCCCCTTTCTTCGGTCTAGCATGTCGTCATAACTAGCGAGTTCTTTTGCCAATGAGGAGAGAACGGACTCCCTGGCGATCAGGAGGAACATGGTGATGCAAGGCAAAGGCTGCATTCCCTTTTATTTTTATTTTATTTTTTTTAAAACCTAACCATGAACTCCAGATACAGTTGCAATCATACAACGTATGGGACCCTCTTCACCCCCGTAGTGCAATTCACCTGCCTTGTATTGGTGCACATAAAAAGGAAAGCAGAGATGGAGTTGCTTCCATTTTGCCGTGATGCATTCAGATGAACACAGCCGGCCCAAAAAACTCGGTCTGAGCCTTGCTGCAGATTGCGGTTGGAACTTCCCTGCGTTCATTGCTTTTTTTGGTTTGTTTTTGGGTACTTAAAGAGAATGAGTCTTCACGTTAGGCTGGCCAGCCCCGGGGTTTCCTTTTTGCTTTTGTATCCGTTCATTTTTGCCTGCGATTAGCCAAAAAACCAAAAATGACAACCAAAACCTTGAAAAACAAAAAGTGAAATGTTATTACTTATGCAAAATATGAAAATGGCAATATATATTACTAGAGCCAAAATGGTATACATAGTATTTGTGTTCGGCTATGTTCTTTTTTATTTTTTTTTAAATTATAAATGTGTAAAATTTGAGGTTGTTTGCTGACAAGAATCATCATATAACTTTAAAAGAATATTTATAATTATTTAATGACACGTGGACCCTTTTAAACGTTTCTTAATGTAATGATATATCGACTTCGGTCTCTAAAAGTGTTTTTGTTTTGTTTTTTTTTTTACTTATGACATTTCTGCAATGGTGTAAACCTCAAACCTTTACCCAACTCTGAAAAACAGTTCCAGTGTGAACCAGTTTACAATGTGACTTAAAAACGACAAACCCAACCCAAGCGCATCCACATCAAATGATTTTGGATGTAGGATCTTTTTATATAACTTATGAAGGAAATACTGTGTTTAACATATTTTTATTAGCTGTCTGGTTGCCTTCAACACAGTCTTGCCTTGTAATCAGTAGTTGTGGAGACACTGGAAAAATGGTAGGAAAGGTGAAAAATTTTCCACCCTTCCCCTAATTTCTTCTTCTCCCAGGATTTTTCTCAGAACTTCAAAATTTGAAAATATTCATATTTAAAATGTTGTGTTTCGACAGCATGATTTGAATTTCGACAGGGTTTTTTTCCCCCCAAAGGAAAATCAAAGCCGTTTCAAAGCCCGTATTTTCCCAATAACGAATTGTTGAATATCTCCGAGATGGGAGTGAGGGAGAATCGGTGAAACTTTTTCCCCTCCCCTTGCAATTTCAGCCCACCCGATGGAATGAAAAGGTCCCAAACTTGAGAAACTGCCTGGTAGCGCATCGCCACCC